TAGTGTCTTTGACATTATACCTTCTTAACAATAATAAATAATAAAATAATAAATAATCTATTTTAATTTAATCTATTTATAATAATTGATAAAAATAGATGATCTATTAATAAATCGAACTAACAATTAGAACTTAAAAATAAATGATGTTTATAAGAAAATAAAAAGAAAAAGAAATAAACTAAATAACAAAGAAGAATGAGCATAAACAAAGAAGAAAGAGATAAATTGTTTAATAAACTACAAGAAATAAGTAATAGTGTTAAGAATCAGATTGATGAAATCATGAAAAGTGCACAAGAATATAATAAAAGTTGGGAAAATAGAATGGCAGAAATGATAACTGATAATGAAAATGAAAGTCCAGAAGATAGAATTAAAAGAATGGAAGGAATTTATGATAGAAAAGAAGAAATAATTAAAAGAAATGAAATAATTAAAAATAAAATAAAAGATGGAATGATGATGATAGATAATTTAAAGAATATCTATCAAAGAATTAACAAAATTAGATACGAAGATAAAGAGATATTATCAGAACAAGTTGATACTATCATTACAAAAGTGATGGAAGCACAACAAATAAGAATTGATAAATTAATTGAAGGAAATAAAGAAAGGAGAATGGTCTATGAAAAAGAGTTAGAAAATATTAGAATAATTTGGGAAAGTAAAAGAGTTGAAAAGAAGCTTACTCCGTCAAAGGAAGAAATTCAACAACTAGAAGAATGGACTTCAAGAAAAATATCCAATATACTATTTGATTCAGAAATTGATGATTGTTATGTTAACACATCAGTATTTGATCAAAAAATAATAAATAAAGAACATATAATAATTATTATTGAAGATACAGAAGGAAATAAATTTGGAGGATATGTTAATGTGAAAATTGATAAAGTTTATAAAGATATAAATGATCCAAAATCATTTTTGTTTTCATTAAAATCAAATGGAAGAATAAAAGGAATGATGAAATTTGATATTAAAGATCCACGACGTGCATTTTGGTTATACAATCAATCAAGTGTTGGATTGTTTGCATTTGGATATGACGATATTCGTGTTTATAAAGAAAATAATAAAACAACATCTTCTTGTAAACAACATTCCTTTGAATATAAAGGAATATCAAATGCACTTTGTGGAAAACAACATCCAGAACGCTTCACACCAGAACGAATTATTGTAATTGAAATGAAATGATTTTTATTCACTATTATTTATTTGAAATATAAATATAAAAAAGAATATAAAATAAAATCAATAAATGAATATGAACAGCCATTTCTTTCATCTGCCAATGAATGAAATGGTGAATATAAAAATGGACATATTTCTTTCTTGTTTTATTTTATTTGAAATAATAATATTCAATGTGTTAATTTAATAAATAATAAAAAGAAATAAGAATAAAAGATAAATAAAAATATAATAAAATATTTATTTTATTCTTTTTTATTTTTTTTTATTTTATTTATATTTATTTTATATTTATTTATTTTATTCTTCTTCTTTTATCTTGGATTCGAAGGTAGCACGTCAGAGACACCACACACAGACCCTAAAATATTTCCTTCCTTCGATTCCCACCAGTTATGGACTGGTTATGGCGTTGCGTTTGGTTAGAAAAACATCTTACCCAGTGCTGCAAGAATAGCAGTGTTTATTATGTACAATGACAGAATATCATTGACAATAAACGAATGGGTATTTATAAAGATGTTATTATTACTTGTTAGAATACAAGTATTATTTGATAATATAAGAAAGATTATCAAAAGAAAAGGGTCAAGTGGATGAGGCTAAAAGAATATTAACCCAAAGCAATACAGTAGTAATTATATACTCTCCTTAAAATAAGAAAATAAAGAAGAAGAAATTTAAACTCATCGAAATTAAAAAGAAATTAAATAATGAATATTTAAATAATTGATGTCTAAAATACTCTATTCCACATCAAAAATGAGAAAAGAAAATTCTCACAGTTCAACAACTAGAAGCAAAGAATAAGCCAAAAGTTGAAGAACAAATACATTTAAAGCTCAGGGACGGGATTAGTAGTCTCCGCTGAGCAAGGAACAATAGAAAATATTTCTATTAATACTTAATTAACTACTTTTTATTCTTCTTCTTTTATCTTTATATCTATTATATATTTCTTATTTTATTATTTATGTTATATTCTTATATCATTTTATTCTTATTTTATTTTTATTCATTATTATTCATTTCATATTAACATTGTTAAATATCAATACAACATATAATAAATAAATGATATAAGATAAACAACAATAAATAATAATAATAATAATAAAATATAAACAAACAATATAAACAAATATAAAATAATAAAATATCATCTAATATAAAATAATAATAACAAAGAATAAAAATAAGAAATGAAAGATGATTAGAAAAGAAAAAATTGACAAAAAGAAGAAATAAATGATGATATTCAAAGATAAAAATCAATATAAAATAAAATATAAAATATAATAAATAATAAGAATAAGAATGATTATATCTTATTTTATTATTATACTCTTCTTCATATTCTCTTATTTTATATATAATTTATAAATTATTATCAATACAAGAAATCAACATATGAAACACATTCTAATATACGTCTTATGATATTAAACAAACAGATATATCAAAAAGTGAATGACAATATCATAAAAGACAAGATGTGTATGTATTGGATAAAAAGAAGAAAACTGGTCTATTATTTAATATGACCTGTAGCAGATCATAATATTAATGGAACATATTGGAAGAAAAGAAATATGTATAAAGAATAAAAAATAGATAAGGCAAATAGAGAAATTAAGGGATGTTTAAATAATTCGGGTAGTAATCTCTATAAATTGATTAGTAAATACAGAAAGCATGAGATTATTAAAAGAATTAAAAACTGAATATCAATTAGTACAAAATAGAGAATTTATATATAATTAATTATAATAACAATATTATCAATAAATTATTACAAAATCAATATGAAAATTATACTAGTTAAAATATTATTGGGTTTCAATAAATTATTAAAACGATTAGTGCTATTTTATAAAATACTTTATATTTTATATTTAACTATACTGCTATTTCTTTTGTCATCACACTAATAAGTATATATATAAATAAAATCTATAGACGGACTAGAATTTATTGAAGAACCTGGAATAACCACTTCTTAACATTTATAATAGCTTATTATTGATACATCCATCAATAAGTTCTTTTTAAATTCAATGCAATAACATTTAAGATTTATTCAAAACAAAATATTAAAGAGTTATTTTATTAAGACAAAATTATTATTAAATAATTTTGAGTGATAATAAATAGATTCAAAAATTGGTTTAAAAAACTTTTAAGAACTTAAAAGATGTGATACTAAAAATCATAAAAACTAATGAGCTAAATTATGTTTAAACAAATGACAGAATGTCGTTCTATCAAGTTAGTACTTGAACAAGAAGTGAAAGGAATAACTATAAAATAACAAAACATCAATAAATAAAGAGCATGAAAATACAATGGGATACAAAACAAAAAAGAATAATTATCAAAAATAAATGTTTTTTGTAAAAAAAGGGTAGAAAAGAACTATTTTAAGAAACATTGGTTAAAGGATAAAGATGCCAGAATATGATACAAAAGGGCTTAGAGAGATACAAAAAAAAGACTTTGAACTAGACCAGTGGTACACATCTTTTAGGGATGAAAATTATTGTGAAGACCACCTAAGTGATATTTTTGCAATAGCAACAAATAAACTAGTTAAAGATGTTTCTGAGAAATGTTGTTGTTTTAAATAATTAAAAATAAATTCATTAAGTATTAATATTAAAAAGTTTAAAAAAGAATAATAAAAAAAATAAAAAGAATAATAACTATTTATTCGACATTATTTATCAGTACAAATTTTTTAAATGCTGTCTTAAATATAAAAGAATAAGTTTTTCCTTTCATTAAGAAAATAGGTCAGTGAATAAAAGTTTTATTAAATTAACAGTTATAAAATATAAAAATAAAATAATTAAATGAATTTTATGGAAAAATGATTTTATTTAACTTATAAACTAATTTTTTCCTTTCAACTTTTTATTTAGATTTTTATATTTCTACAATTTAACTTACTTGTTTAATACCATTCATATTATAGAGACTAATTTAAAAATAGTAATTGAAATAAAAAACCATTAAGTATTTTTCACTGAGTTCGGAGTTAAGAGGTGTTAAAAATAGATTTGTTAAATTAAAAAAAAAAATTTTATTTCAAATTTTAAAGAAAACAGAAACAAAAAAGAAAATTTCATTTTATTATTTCTCTAATGGCATCACCTCGACTCAGTTTTAGACAAAGTTTGGTTTCTCCACATTCTAAGTTATTATCTACTGTTCCTTTAGTTGTGTTTTTAAGTGACCAAAATGAAATTATACAAACTATGAAAACAGTTCCACCAGCAACAATGCTTGTTTGGGTTTTAACACCAACAAGTGAATCAACAAAGTTTGAAATTATATCTACTTTATTTAATTTTAAATATATTAAAGAAAAGAATAAATATATTTATATTTCTTTAGAGGAATTACTATTACAATTAAATATTATAATTTAATTTCACATCACACATTATTCAAAGATAGTATTCTTACAACATTAACAAAGAAAAAAATTGGTAATTCAAAACAAATAGAATATAATGTATCTACTAATGTTAAAGGAATTACTAATAATAATATTAGAGTTGCCATTAATCAATTCATTTTATATCAACAACTTGTTCAATTTCTTATGAGAACTCAATATTTTAGTGATTTACCTTCAATGAATAAATTCCCTACTATTCATCCAGATCCAACTTCTCCTCGTTTAATTTGTCAATGGATTCAAGGAATTAAAAGAATTGATTTAGATGAAGAAAACGGTTCTTTATTATTATTAAATGAAAAACTTTCTATTATCGCTAGATGTGAAACTGTTAATAATGCAATTGATGCATTAAAACAATACATTAACCCTTCTCAACTTCCTATTTCTCTTTCAACAGAAATGTTCAATATAACTGAAAAATTAAATGAACTTCATGCAATAAACTATTCTGAGTCTTTTGTTATTAAAGATGTAATAATGATTTTACCCAAATTTATAAATGATTTATGTCATCATCCAATTAATACTCTTGTTGATTCCTTAGAAGTATTAATCAGTCGTGTTTTTTCTAATTCTTTAATTGAACAAAAGACTATTATTAAAATGTTATTTGATCATATAAGAATTCATCCAATTTGTGATGGAATTTATCTTCTCATTGGTAAATTATTGGATAAGTATACTAAAGCATTTTGTACAGTTCTTCAAACAGAAAAGGTAGGAACTATACTAACTGAAAAGATGAAAGAAATATATAAAAATATTTTTGGTGATTATACCTTTGATGAAAAATCATTACCATCAATTAAAACTGTTATTGTCAAAGATGACAATACACCAATTAACTATGATGGTGTGGACAGAGGATCATCAAAACAAGTAAAAAGAAAATCTATATTCTTCTCAAATTCATTGTTCCAAGAGGATGATACTTTCTTAAGAAGACAAAGTAGAAGTTTCCAAAGAGCAATTACTCCTAGAAAAATAGGAAAAGGAAAAGGTGATGAACAACTAGAATCAAAAAATGAAATGAGAGATGAAGCAAGAAAATTAGCTCAAGCATTTTTTAATGAAAGTCTTCCTTATATTCTTAAAGTAGATCAAACTGGAGTTAAAATATTTAGTTCAAAAAATGAGAATGAAGCATTTCTTGATAACTTAACTTACAAACCTGGATTTGAACAATTAAAACAAGTAATTAAATTGGTTAGATATAATATAGTCATAGAAGAAAATCCTGAACTAATCAAACAAATTTGTTTCTTCCTTATTCCATCAGTATCATTAGGTTATAAAGATTGTTTTAAAGAAATTACTGATTCTATGGAAGATTATTTTCAACATATTTATACATGTAATAAAGAAAACATTTTTATGAAAGTACTAACTGACTGGGAATTAATTGTAGAAGAATCAAAATCATTTAATGCTTATTTCTTCCGTATTTTATTAAAAATCTTTAGAGTTTATTTGAAAATAGCTAGATATCAAACAATTGGATTAGGGTTATCAGAAAGAGTTTTAATGCCGATTTCTTTATGTCTTCAACGTCCACAAACAGAATGTTATTTAGATTCTCAGTATGACCTTTTAATAGAAGTTGGTCGTTGTTTTAAGATTTTTAATAATAAATGTTTAAATGAAACACACTCAGTTCATGCAATTCAACAAATTTATTCACCAAAAGAAATTAGTAAATTGGCAATGGCATGTGCAAAAAGATATCTTATTGACTATGAAAAAGAAACATCAAATTATCATGAAAATGTTAACAAATTACTTGGAAAGAAACGAGAATATACCATTCTTTATTTCCAAGTTCTTGTTCGTTTATTACAAGTCTTTGACCAAAAATCTCTTCCAAATAATCAAAATTATACATCAGTTCAAGAAAATTTAGAAAATCTAGTAGTCCCACCAAATGGATTTCTTTTTAGATTTTTAAGAGATGAAACTGTTTTATTTGGAGTTGATGCTAAAGTTACTGCACTCTCTTTTTTTACATATTTCTTTAGTGTAAATTCACCAATTATCAGAAGAAAGTCTGTTGTTAATGAATATATTCGATTTGCATTTAAATTATTTATTAAAATATATTACAAAGACACTTGGACTGACGATGATATTAGAGTATTAATTGGTGCTTTGAAAATGTTAAATGGACTTGCAGCACATAAAACTGAGTTTAGTAGACAAACCTTTTTTAGATTAGGTTTATTCTCATTATTATTACACGAAGTTATGTTAGAATTTAATATGAGTTGGAATAATTCTCATGAAGAAGAAACGGGGATTTTTGACGCTTTTAAACAACAACCAAAAAAACAATTAGAACAAACAAAAACACAAACAAAACGTATTGCTGGAAGAAAGAATATGAAAGTTAATATTCCTAGACTTTGTGTAAATGCTAGTCCAACTAAACCACTTTCTCCTCGTAAATTTGAAACAAAACTAGATGAGGACACTAAAAAGGATGGAATCACTCAATTATCACCTCGAATTATATTGGAAACTTCTAAATCAAGATCTCCAAACACAAACAATGTATTGGATGGAAAACTTCAATCACCTTCTGCTGATACTCAGTCTCAAGAAATTCAAAAAACTATCACAGTCCATAAGAAAAGACTAACTTTGACTGATGAATGTTATAAACCATCAAAGAAAAACACACCTACTTCTGATAATAGATCTGATAGTCTTTCTCCAGACCCTCAATATTTCCAGGTTGTAGAAACCCCAAAAGAACATGAAACAATTTATAACACTCCTCCTATTGAAAGCCCTGGTAAAACTCCTCCTATTGACGTCATTAAGAAAGGGACTAAGACTCCTATGCGTTTGTCATTAGTAAAAGTTCCTGGAATCATTACTGTCAGTCCTCCTGATTCATCTCGTTCAAGTCTAAGAAGTTCACTTGAAGCAGGTAGTTTTTTTATTCCTTGCAAGTTAGAAGATGAGACACAACACAAAACATCTCCAATAACGTCATGTAAAGATATTTCTATTCCATTGAATAATTTTGAAGAATCAGTCATACGAGAAGAAGAGTCTAAGAAGAGAGAGTCAGTTAATCCAACATCCAATAATACAAAGATAGTTGAAACAACAAATGAAGAACCTCAATCAAGTGCTTCAAGTGATAAACCAAAGGATACAAAAGTTAAAGAAGAAACAAAAAAAGAAATTACGCCTCCTGCACGAAAAAAGAGACCACCACCACTTAAAATGGTTCCAGCTATTAGAAAATCTATTGATAACTCAGGAGCTGGAACGTCATCAGTATCAGGAAGTACAACTAATAGTTCTAATGGATTATTGACACAAGTAGAACAGAAATTTAAGGAAACAGGGAAGTTACATCTTATTCTTGATAAGATGATGTTTGAAAAAACAAATACAGAAGTAGTAAAAGTTGATGAACATTCGTATGAAAATATGAGAAAAACAAGAAGAATTTATGTTAATAGTGATGTACATAAAGAGATATTAATGTTATTGTTTAATTTAATAGTGATGGAGAATGGAGTATTAGATCCATTATATACTGATCAATTTCCTGATTTAAAAGGTATGAAAGATGCATTATTTATTTTGTCATGTCATTTAGATCGTAGTTCAAATAGAGAAATAGCAAAACAATTGTTCTGTCAAGAATCATTAAATCCAGGAATTCAAGAGTTATTGAGGTTATTATCACAACAATTTTTTGATATGTCAAAGTACTCTATTATTAAAGTAATTGGAGAGGGAGCATATGGAGTATGTTCTGAAGCATTAGTAAAATATGGTACAGATTTAACATTAAATAAAGTTGTTATCAAACAAATTAAAATCTCTGAGTCACCTAAGGCAAGAAGTGTTCTTCATGATATTTTTAATGAAATTCTTATTCTTGAAAGACATTGTAGAGATGAAAGGGTTTCACATTTATTTGAATATGGATATAATGAAGGATTTTATAACATTGTTATGTATCAATATTCTGCATCATTAGGGTCATGGAGAAGAAATTTACAACCATCAACATCAAATACAAGAATTCATTTATTATTAAATATTTACAAAGAAGTATTACGAGTTTGTCAAGTTTTAAATCAAAGAATTATTCATTTTGATATTAAATGTGAAAATTTCTTAATTGAACCATTACCTGGAGTATCATTAGAAACAGTTAATAATCCACAAACAGAAATTCCACCATTTAAATTATGTCTTGCTGATTTTGGAGAGGCATGTGTTTATCGTAATGATAAAGAAGCAAATACAACTAGACATCGTGGAACAGAATCAATTAAACCACCAGAAATGTTAAAAATGGACTTAGCAGGAGGAATGCCTGTAAATGCATCATGTGATATCTGGGCATTAGGTTGTTTGTTATATGAGTTATATACATCAAAAATGCTTTTTGCAATTGCTGATGTTGGAGAATTTTATTTTAGAGTATTAAAGAGTGAAGAATTATTAACTGAAGAAAATAAAGAATTACTTGGAAATAATGAGTATTTAATTGGATTTCTTGAATTTGTATTAAATAGAGATCCAACAAAACGACCTCAAATATCTGCATTAGCACAAAGATTTGATGAAGTAATTGAAAAATTTAAAAAAGATAATAAAAAAGATTTACTTAAAGCAAAAAAATGGGAAAAGAATAGAAAGATGTTAGAAAGAAAACAATACGAACAAATTGAAGAAGAAAATATTCAATTAAAGAAAGATATTGATATTAAAAGAGGAATAGAAGTTGTTAATTTTGAAGAGTCTAAACAAGTGTTCAAATATTTTAATAATATTCTATTTGGTGGAGAAATGAATGATGAAGAAGTATATAAAAGAGGAATTAAATATGTTATGCATTTTGGAGAAGAATTACCAACATCACTTTCACTTACTGCTATGAACTATCCTATTCCAAAAACAGTTGAAGAAATGATTAAATTATTTTCACGAATTATTGAAGTATTAAGGGAATTTGTTGTATCAAAAAGGGCTGTTTATATTTGTGGAGATAAAGGATATATGCCAGCTGCTTTGTTACTTGGATTTACAATGCAAAAACATTACTTATCTGAATATGAATCTTATCTTTACATTCAAAAAGTATGTCCATATGTTAGACTTCATGAATCAGTTTTAAGTGGATTAAAATATTTTGAAAAGAATCCAATTCCATCAATTTTCAGTGGCAATGATAAATTAAGACATTTCCATTGTTTATGTGGAATTGTTGATATAGTTTTAACTCAACCTATTGATGAAGAATTAGTTAGAAATTGTAGATGTGAAGCAGATGGTAAAGAATCTTGTCCTAATCGTCACAATGGTTGTAGAATCTTTTTAGAAACAATGAAAGAAAAATCATCATATGATGCAATATTTATGAAATGGGTTGGAGTAAAACAAAAGAATGTTGTGGGAATGAAGAATCTTTTAAATGTTGTGAATGTGTTTGTTTATTCTTTTGTATTATTTTATTTAATCAATTAAAATATTTATCTAATTAGATTACCATCTTCTGGTAAAAGTGCAAAGATATATTCTTGTAAGAGTTGTGGATTCATTATGTTTGCCATTCCTAAGAAAGGATTAGAAAAGAAGTTTTCAACAAATGGTAAAGGTTATGATTTATTTATAGTGGCTAATAATGCTGGAATAGAACTGTTCTAATCAAACAATTTCATTTGTAATTTATCAATTTATACAATCTATTATTTAATTCTATTTTTATCTAAAATCTTTTCAATCTTCTAACTTAACAAACCATTTTTACTTTGTATTTCATTTTTTTGTCATTACTTCTGTCTACAACATCCTTAATTTGTTATACTCTTTTATAAGTCATCTTCTGTTCATTTTATCTTTTTCTTTATTTAATATTTTTGTAAGTATTATTATTTTGGTTACATTTCACAATAAATAATGTAGTTAATATTAATACATTGTATGAAAAAAAATCCGTTTTGAGAAAAGAAGTTGATGGATTTAATAGAAGATTAATTAATTTTTTCATTATGTAAAAGTGTCTGAAAATCAAACTAAGTTGTAAAATAATAAAATCAATTTATTCTCTTATAAGTTCACATGAAGAATCAGGCCATTTGAGATGAATAAATGAAAAACCAACAGGATTTGTCTGTGTATCATAATGAGAAGTAAAATAACGTTGAATTGTATTATATCCAATTGCATAATAACCACAGTTATGTTTGATTGAATCATCCATCTCCTCGTAAAAAGCTTGTTCCATTAAGGAATCAGTAACTCCATTCATTTGGAAATGAATAGTAGTTTTCTCGTTGACAGCTTTCATATCAATAGACATTAATCCTTCACGATTTCTACTAGTTCTATTAGTAATATAATAAGTAAAAGTATTATACGTATTTTCATTAATACCTTCAGGATATTCATACATGTACTTTAAATAATTTGTTTTATTTAAATGTAACGGACTGGTATCATTCCAATGAAGGAATGAATGGATATTACCACATCTTTCAAAATCGTCATTTGCGTTAAGTACACTACCTGATGGTTGAATATCATCAATGTAATATTCTAAACTATGCCCTGTTGTGGCACCTTCATCTCGAACAAATAATGCTCCTTTATCGTTTGTTCTTGGGATAGGATAATTATCATCCCATCCGACAACAACAACACTTTTTAACTTACCAGTTGAATAAAGAATATTAGAGTCATGGTAATATCCATCAAATGTTCTTATTGGAGTGTCTTGGTAATAGCACTTTTGAGTAACATTGTAAGCACATTGAATGGGATGGTCATTATCTTTTCTTAAAGAAGAAGAAATAATAGTACGATCAACAAAATCATCAAATGTCAATAACACTGGTTGATGGTAAATGGTCATAAATCTCTTTGCTTCACTTACAAGTAAGGTAGCATTTATTCCCATTCTGCCAGATACCTCTACTCCTGTTAGTGTTTTATTTTGATGAAGAAATTTAAGAAATAGTTTATGAGATTCAATAACATCAGGAGGACAATCAGAAGAACTTTCACAAAGCATATATTGTATTAATGGACCAATACTGCTTGTAGGTTCTCGAAGATATTCTTTGCATTGATTTGTATTATTTCTTTCAGGAGAAGTACAATATTTTTCTACTTGTTTTATAAATGAATGACAATCAAATGAATAATCATTTCCATTAAGGAATGTCTTATCATTATTTTTATAATAATACTTTCCTTTTAAATGCATAAAATGTAATAAACTCATTGACATAAAAGCTAGTGGTGCTTCAAAAGAGGAGGGACAATATGGAAAAGAATTTGATTGATAAGGGATTGATTCTTGTATTGTAGGTAAGACATAATTAGATGGATATCTAATAAACACAGTTTCATACTCTGACAATTTTTGAACTTGATCTTTTAATATGAAGTAAGATGCCATAGAAACTGCAAATATTCCAATTTCAATTACAATAAGAATGATCCATAATATAACTAAAGGAATCTTTGAAGATTCAAATAAGTCCATCAAAATAACACAAATTGGTTTTTTAAAGTTCCATTTTTTAATCAAAAAATGTTTTTTATTATTATAATGTTAATAATAACAAATTATTATTAGGAAAAGTTTTTTTTAAAATAAAATATTAATAAACCTAAAAAAAGATCAACTAATAAAAATATCTTCAATAATAAATTATTGGCAAAGCAAAGTCTTTTATCATTAAAATATTCTGAAAGTACTACAGAGGTCTTTACTAAGAAATTTTATTGTAATAAAAATAAAAAAAATTAAAGAAAAACGTAAGAAACTTTTTAAATTCAATTATCAAAAGTTTTTAAATAAGAAGAATAGAGTTAAGAAATCTAATGAATTTTCCATATTTTTGATAAGAATTGTTTTCAATGATTTTTTTTATTATTAAAAAGTAGTTTTTGAATAATAAAACTCTATTAATTCAATATGTGTAGTCGTCTGACAAGAACAACATTTTCAGTTCCAAGAGTTACTGGGACTACATCTGTATTAAGGAAAAACATTCCTGTTATTCGAGTAATTGTAGAAAATGAAGGAAAAACATTTACACCAATAAATACTCCACAACAAATAATAAATTTTTATTATGACCCGAAGAAAACAAAAGAAAAATATTATTTTTGTTTAAATCACCAACCATATTATTTTGATAGACTTTCAGAACCTTTGTTTGTTTAATTTCTATTGAGTGTATAATATATACATTAAGAATGACTATCTAACTATTCAGCTTTGAATGTAAGTTTTGTATCTATTGTAATTCATATGGATATTGGCCAACATTCACATTAGTTAAAGTTGAACAATGTATTAATTATAAACCAATTAACTCATTTCTTAATTTTCTAGAATCAAATAAAATGACATTTGATTGTATTGGAAATGAATTTCTTTTAGTGTTAAAAGCGAATACAGATGAATGTCGTGATTTTAGAGCAACTTTAGCACGTATTCTTCAAGAAAAAATAGTTCTATTTGAAAGTGATGTTATTGATAAATTTGGTGATGATACTCAATCACAACAAGATGCAAAAGATATTTATGAAGAAAACGAATATGTTTATGTTGAATCTGAACCGCCTATTCCAACAAATTGTATAGAACTAAAAATTAATGGAAGGTATGGAGTTGATATGTCAATGAAAACTATTGTCCAAAAACCTACAGACACAATTGCAAAAGTTATTAATAACTTATTTACGAAATTATATACAATGAAACCAAAAATATTTGATAAAAATTCAAAAGCAACAGATTTTGTATTAAAAGTTAGAGGTTCAAATGAATTTTTAATACCATAGTTTGTTTTATAAATTAAATAAATAAATTAAATTATTTATCATATAGTAATAATGATAAAATAGAATATACTCTCAATGATTTTGATTATATTAGAAAATGTGTTAGATTAAATCAAAATATTGATGTAGTATTATTCAACAGAAAAAAAATGTATCAATACATGTTTGATAAAGAAAAAATAGTATTATTAAAACAATTTAATACTTTTGTTGGAAATGATTATTGGAGTAAATTACAAAAAAATACAAATGATTTATCTCAACGTGCTGCTCAAATTCAATTTTCTATTCAAATTATTTCAATTGAAAATATTAAGTATTTAAAAATTATTAAAAAAGAAGATAAAAAAGAAACAATTTCAATTACTTCATTTAGAGCATATTTTGCATTATCTTTACATTACGGTATTCGTTATTTAGAAAAAGAGAAATTTACTAATGTTTTTCAAGTTAGTGAAGGAAAACTATTATTAAAAGAACCATTTAATGTTAGTTTCGAAACACTATTATCTTCTCTTCCCAAAGAAACAAAAATGATAATTTCATTGTATATGACTGAATTACCTGTTGGTATTAGTGTTAATGAAATCAATAAAAAAGATATTTGTTTAGCAACTATTAATTGTAAATTAGTTGACCATCATAAATATTTTATGAAAGGATTATTTAATGTTGGAATGTGGGAAAGAACTGAACCAAATCCTATTATGATGTGTTGTGAAAACACATCACCTGAAACATGTAAATTACGTTATTGTGTTATTGAATTTGATAAACCAATTAAAATGGATACTTTTATTGGAACTGAAGAAGAAATGAATGTTCCAATAAATACATCACAGAAATTAGATTTAAATGATACTAAAATATTTAAAGAAGCTGTTGAAGCTGATCCATTAACAGTGCTTAGTCAAGAGGATTGTAGATTATTATGGAAATATAGGTATCTAGTTGAAAAAACAAAACCTGGATCATTAGCACGTTTAGTTTCTGCTGTTGATTTTACTCAACAAAGTGAAGTATTAGAATTACATAGATTATTAAATAAATGGCCATTACTTAAACCAACTCAAGCATTAGAGTTATTGGATTTTAGATTTCCAGATGAACAAGTAAGATTATTTGCTTTAAAATGTTTAGATGCAATGAAAGATTATGAATTAGTTAATTTTCTTCCTCAACTTGTTCAAGCATTAAAATTTGAATTACATCATCAAAGTAATTTAGCATATTTTTTACTAAGAAGAGCATTAAGAAATAAAAACATTATTGGACATCAATTCTTTTGGTTTTTAAAAGCTGAGATGCATGATAATAGAGTAACTGAACGATATGGAGTGCTATTAGAGGCATTTTTAAATGGGTGTGAAAATTATAGAACAGAGTTATATAATGAAGTAACATTTCAAAACCAGTTAGTTGTTATTGCTAATAAAGTGAAACAAATAGAAGTAAAAGAAGAACAAAAACAATTACTTAAAGATTCATTAGCAAAATTAAAATATCCTGAAGAAATGTCATTACCATTAGATTCACGATTTAGAATAAAAAAACCAGTTCCAAATACTGGAAATGTATTTAGTAGTAAAAAGAAACCACTGATGTTAGTATTAGAAAATGTAGATCCATTAGGAGATAATATTATGGTTATACAAAAAGTTGGTGATGATCTTAGACAAGATGTTTTAAGTTTACAAATGATTCAATTAATGAATAATATTTGGAAATCTGCAGGATTAGATTTAAGAATGTTACCATATCATTGTACTGCTACAGGAAATGAAATAGGAATGTTAGAACTAGTTCAAGATTCTGAAACTTATGGAAAAATTATTGCAGATGAAGGAGGTCAAGGTACATTAAGAATTTGTAAAGAAGATTTATTAACTAAATGGTTAAAGAAACAATGTTCAAGAAAAGAGAGTAAAGTTACATTTGAACAAGCTGTAGAGAATTTTACATATTCATGTGCAGGATATTGTGTAGCAACATATATTTTAGGAGTTGGAGATAGACATAGTGATAATGTAATGATTCGTAGAGATGGTAGATTCTTTCATATTGATTTTGGACATTTTCTTGGACATTTTAAATCAAAGTTTGGAGTTAAAAGAGAAAGAACACCATTTAAATTTACTCAACATTTTGCACATGTTATGGGTGGTAAAGGATCAACTCAATTTAGTATATTTGAAGATCTATGTATAAGAGCATTTGCTTGTATTAGAAAACAAGGGTCTTTATTTATTTACTTATTTAGATTAATGCTTGCTACTGGTATACCAGAATTACAACATGAAAAAGATATTGAATATATGAGAGATACTTTTATGTTTGATAAAAAAGATGATGAAGCAAAAGAAGCATTTAGACAATTAATTTATGAATGTTTAGAAGCTAAATCACAAACATTAAATGATATGATTCATGATTTCGTACATTATAAATAATACAAAAATTGATAATAAAAATAAAAACAATTTGATTTTATTTTAAATTCTTTTAATTCAATTGATTTATTAAAATAATATTTAAATATATATACCTTTAAAATAATTAAACTAAATTTCTATGAAGAAAAATAACAACCAAGTTTAAAAATATTCCTCCTTAAACTACTTGAGATTGAGCTGGTTTCTTCTTTCCTTTTGAATTAACAGCTGTTGGAACATTAGGGAATACTCCACCATATGAAATAGTAACATCTTTAAGAAGATCATTTAATTCAAGATCTGATCGAACTGCAAGTTGAATATGTCTTGGAGTAATTCTTGTTTTGTGGAAATCTTTTGCTTGTCCACCTGCAAGTTCTAAAACTTCTGCAACAAGATATTCAATAACAGCTGTTAAATAAACTGATGCCATTTTATTAATATGTTCTCCATATCTTCCTTTTTTAAGAGCAGCATGAATACGAGCAACTGGGAATTGTAAACCTGATTTCTTAGAAAGAGTATTTTTTCTTCCTTCATCATCATGTGATTTTACTTTCTTTTCAGTGACTTTCTTTGGTTTCTTTTCTACTGATTTTTTTTCAGTGGCTTTCTTTTCTACTACAGGAGTAACTTCTTTTTCTTTAGTAGCGTCCATTGTATTTAAAATACAGTTTTGATTACTTAAGATCTTATTGTCATCTTAAATATTCCCAAATTAGGTTTTCCTATTTTTCTCTTTTTACAGAAAATCATTAAAAATGAATCTTGATTCTTTTTCTTGTCTATATCATGTTTTGATTACATTCTGAATTTATATCATCTTCATAAAATTATTTACCATTACATTTTCAATATATGAATTTACTTGTTTATCATGTTTTTTTCATCATATATTATACATTTATTATTATTTTTACAAGAATAACGAAGACAACTTGAATTTTTGTTCACTTCTTTTTCTTTTTTTTTTTCTCTTTTCGGGAAACCCTTTTTTTTGCTAATATAATAAATATTATTATTATAAAACTATTTTACTATTTCTATAAATAGAGTTCTCTTTTTAATAAA